AAAAAAAAAAAAAAAAAAAAGAAGAGGTAACTTGTGTGCTGAGATCAGAGGAGGAATAGAAAGTTGTTGAATGAAAAGGGAAGAGAATGTTTCAGATGAGAGAGGACAACGTGGCATTTTTTTAGAAGCTGAAGGAAGTTGAGTAGCTCTGGGGCAGGGACCAGAAGGGCTGGAGGGAGGAGGGAGGAAGAAACAATGAGAGAATTGGCTGCTGCAAGGATTCCAGAGTGGTTCCCCAGAGCCATAGGCAGCTTTGAAGGCATTTGAATAGAGATGAGATGCAACAGGATTCACACACTAGAAAAATTATTCTGGCTGCTGAGAAGAGTTTCAGGTCCAGGACAGTGATGCGATGTGCATCCAGGGGCCATTGCTGGAACTGGAAGGGAGAGCAGGATGGTTCTGTTGCAAGGCTGCTAGAAGTGTGACTGCGCCTGCATGTAAGGAGGAAGGGAGAGTAAGCCATGTTTGGGCCTGGGTGCCTGGATGATGGCCACAGATTCTCTGAGCCAGGAGTGTTACCAGACCAAGAGTGTCCAGCCGCCTGTCACTGTCAGCCAGTATATAGAGATGGGATAAGTCCACCAAACTTTAATTATCAGAAGGCCGCAATTCTGGAGAACAGTGAGAGTAGCCTCTCCAAGACTGTTCTGTTCTTCCATTTCCAAAATCATAGTTTTATACATAAAAGTTAAGAAAGCAAGAACCATACTTACCCTTATCTTAAACAACAGTAATTAACCCTTATCTTAAACAACAGTAATCGCTATAACCCATGACCCATAATAAAAAATAATTGACATAACCCGTGACCCCAAACAACATTTCTAATTCAAAAGTTAATCGCTTAAATCATTCACCCTAAACTACTCAAATATGTACCTTTAGGTTAAAGCTGAATTTACAGAATAACAAGAATGGGAGCCATGAGGTGAAGGTCATGGAGGACCTAACCAACTGGACCAGCTGTGCTGCCTCGGCCGGAGCCTGACTGACTCCATCTTATTCTCACTACATGTGCTCTCAGGAGGAGGGTGAGTGTCTTGGAGTGAGGAAAGAGGAACTGCTTCCCAGGAAGGACGGGCTGAGAAAGGGTAGCCCACAGAGCGCAGTGACCTGCACGGGGGAGGAGGCAGGAAGAAAGCGGTCACCCCAGGACTAAGAGGAGAGGCTTACCGAGGGGCCAGGGGAGATAACACAGAGGCCAGGTGAGTTTATGCGTCCACAGGATCCAGTGATCTAAAGCCACGGGGAGCTGGGCAACATCAATGTCCACAGAGCTCAGGGAAGACTGCAGTGAGTCTGAGAGTGCAGAGGAGAGAGAGAGAACAGAAGAGAGTGCCGATGCCTAGGTGGAGGTTGACTTTTGAGAGCTGGGTGGGGGGCAGTTAGTGCCAGTGCTTGGCAGATGCTAGAGCCTTGGGCAAGCTTTTAGAGCCCATAGAAATGACCCAGGAGACAGGATGACCAACCACGAGGGCTGCAATGTGGCACAACTCCAAGGGTACAACTAATATGGTGATACTGACACCCCCTCCAACTGGGAGCTACACAGTGAGCAGCTGACTAGGTAATAGGAAGCACAGACCCTGGGCAGGGGGTGGGGAGGGGTTAGTCCGGGCAGAGGATGGGGTCAAAGTTCAAGGCTCCACTGTGACGGGAATGTAGAAGAGGAGGATGGATCTTTACTGGCAGGATGAGGATGCTTTGGGGTCTCCTCCAATCCAATGACTGGCGATTTTTGGAGTAGGAGGCAAAGTCACCTGCTGAGGGACATTTGCTGGGAGTTAGGGTTAGGGAAGGCTGAAAATGGGCCAGAGAGGGCACAAGGGCATCATGGCAGTTCTGACTGGGTTGGTGATAAGCCTCTTGGTAGCTGATCTGCAAGAATTGCTGGTGGCTCCAGCCTTCAGGGTTGTGAGGCTTCTTTCTCTATCCTCACCAGCTCCCTTTTGAGTTTCAAGAAGGCCAAATGAAGAAAGTCCAGAGTCAATGGGGCTGAGATCCAGATCAGGCAGGGACTGAAGTTGTGGGCCTCAGACTCAGCACCAGGAGGAATAAACAAGGGCAGAGGGAGCTGAGCCCTGCAGAGGTGCAGGACCAAGGAACATGGGCTCCCCAGGAGGTGTGAGAGTGGCTGCTTGGAAGTGTCAGTGTGAACTAGAAAGGCTACTCCTCCCCCCCAAAAGGGGTCTCCCTTGTTCACTCTGTTTCCTCATCTCTTAAGTGGGAACAATGATGGTGAGTACACACGCCTATAAGAACTCAGGCAGTCACTGACATACTTCTCCTGGGGCTGAAAGTTTTTCCTGGCAGCAGTGAAAATGAGATGATCTTTTCTATGTGAACTAACTACTCACCAGCCTGAGTCCAGGCACCTATGGCTAATTGTCCCTTGACAGGGTCCATATGATGTCCCACCCCATGAGGCCCTGCCCTACCCTGACTCCAGCCCTTGGTCCCTCCCTGCTGGCCTCGGTCCAGGTGTCTCAGGAGGCAGGTGCTGCAATCCAGGGCTCATCCTCCCCTGTGAACTGGGCCTCGATCTTGCTGGCTGAGTCCCTCCCTGGAGGGGGAGACTGGGCCCCAGATCTGTGAGTGCAGGGCTTAGTTTCACCCTGTTCCGCACCTCTGGGTGCCTGAGAGTCTATCCGCCTGTTGGTCACTAACTGCTGTTCTTGATGAGCCTCCTAACACTGACCAGCCAGCTGTGGGCACCCTGACTCAGTCTGTTCTGATCCATCACCTCCCTCTCCAGGCAGAAGGGAAGCCCAAGGCTAAGAGGGATGACCCCAGTGAAGGATGCCTGTTTACTCTCTTGTTCAGTGCACATCATTCCCTACCCTCTGAGTGCAGGCCCTGGGCTAGCTCTGGAAATGTGAGGTAAGGAAAGCAGGTCTGGGATTTGCCCTCATAGAGTCCTCACCTTGCAGAGCAGGACAGAGAAGTGAACATGGATGTGACAACTGCTCTGATGGATGGTGTACAGTGCCAAGTGGACCCAGGAATCAACCCCCGACCAGGAGGGCTGAGCTTGAACTCCTAGAAAAACTGTTCTCACACGCTAAATCCTATACAGTGAAGAGGAGGCAGTAGAGAGATATGCCGGCAGGAAGTAAGAAAGAATGTGATGTATTCATGAAGCTAGAAGAAGATCCGGTGGTCTAGATCACCAAGTTTCAGAAAATCATGGTTAAATATGAAGCTAAAGAGAACAACATGAACAAACTATGCCGTATAAACTATGTTAAGGATCTTAGTGTTCATTCAGAGTGGTGAGCAACAGTGAAATATTATAAACAGAAAGGTGTGTTGATTAGATAATTCTTTAGAAAGATCACCCTGGCTGAGGAGAGGAGGATCAATAGGGGCAGAGAGTGGGTTTGGTGGGAAGAGGAGAAGCAGAATGGCCAAGCATTTTAGCCTCAGTTAGGAAGGGGGAAAGGACATAGAGGAAAAGGAACTGATCGGAGAGATATTTATCAGGTAGAATTGATAAGACTCCAGGGTTGATTGTGTGAGAGACGAGAAGGAATCAGGGTCCTGGGAGTTTGGGAAACTGACAGCCACGTGCTATGCTATGAACTAAGGATTACAGAATGACTAAGGTTTTGTG